CAATATCATGTACGATGCTCACACGTTGATTAATACCATTAGGTCCCAAGGCAACGAAATGCTATACCTGCGAATCTTCTACCTCATACAAGGATTGTGAAGACAAAAGCGTGTTAAGTACCTGTAACAGCGCCCAATCCACGTGCTACAAGGCAGACTACGGGACAGACTCCCCGAACTCCCCGACCACCGGACCCTACGGCCAAACATCYGGTACTCGTAAATACGGCAAAGGCTGTGTGTCGAGTTCTCAGTGTACAAAAGAGAGGCTGTCCTTCTGCAGACGTTATGGAGTATCAATGAGCAATGATTGTAATGTTTATTGCTGTACTGGGGATAAGTGTAATACAGCTTTGAGCTTAGGAGTCAGCAGTGTATTGCTCTCAGCATGCGCAGTCGTACTGGCTCTGTTACTTTAATATCGTACGCGACACGAGTGAAAAACGTCTGCGCATGCATTGAATCCGTATGCAAATTACTCAAAACAGTAAATTTAACTTTCAAACATACCTGATAAATTGGACTTCACAAAATGCCAAAACTTAGTGTCCATGCTTGAAACTTAAGACTAATTCTTTCATATTGTGTTTGTTAATACAGTATCTTGGTCTGACAAAAGTATGACCCTCGAACTTTTTTGTATACTCGGAGAAAACAAACATTTATTTTCTCACTCAAACTCTTCAAAATTCTGCTGAAATGCACGCATGCGCAAACGTTTTTCTCTAGTGTCATCGTACGCGCAAGTTCTTCGTTTTTCAGATTTGTATAGCTGAATCAGAAAATGTAATAGAATTAGTCAAAAACCGCTTTGTTCGGGCTTGATTACTCATTTACTCATTAATATTTTCTTTAGGATTTTTATARCGAGTGTGAAAAAATGTACTGTGACATTTTTGAGAGAAAGAGCAAGTTTTTAACATTGTTCGAAGATTGCACATCAGTTTGTATGGCAAACACTTTGGGTATACGTATTTGTGTAAGTGTTGAACAGGTTATTGCTAGCTAAGAGGCGTTTCGCGGTTGTGGAAAACATTGGGTCAATAATGCATTGCGTTTTAGGTCGGTTTTGGGAGACGAAATACCCACCATTTTGAAAATGTCCCCTCAAGCAGGCCCACAATGCAATGCAATGCCAAATTGACCCAGTTTTTATCAACGTCATAATGTCTAATAGATTGATGTACTCTCGTACTGATAAACTAATTTTGGTTATTAACAATAAAGTAGAGCCTATATAATACGGAAGTGGTCCTAATATAAACTGGAAGTTCTTGGCACCATTATACACCACTCAGAGAAAAACATTCATCTTGAGTCTTAATGGTCTTACCCTAATCTATACACGCCGATCTTCCATGGCTGCTAAATATAGAGGATTGTGATTTACAAAAACAACCCCAACCCCTAACCCCTCAGAGAAATAAAATGTCATGTCACCTTGTCATCTGTCATCTCTTACCTCAAGTTACGCTCCGTCGACAGCGACAGGTTTGCCTCGGTGTTATTTGATAACCTCGTCTTGAGTTTCTAGACGGGGTCCATAATTGGGTGCTTTTGGACAAACAAATGCCTTCACATCACAATTCTTGGAAAAACACATCACATTTCTCGGAAAAGCAACTTGAAGGCTTCCTACTAAGATGGCTAAAACGGGGTTTATCTTTTTGCTTCTTCTTGTGGCTTCGTTCTTTGGTAAGTCCAAAACTTCCTTCAAGGAATTAGCTTCATTTTTTGTGAGTGTTGATGACTTCTCTTAAGCAATTAGTTCGGTTTTACGTATGTTTTCGTTAATTTTTTGTGAGTGTTGAACCAGGAAGCTCTCGGATCACGTCTAATGCTGTTTTCTTCCCGACAACAAGACATCACAAAATTCGGGGGAAAAGCAACACGCAGAAACACTTCTGAAAAGCAAACACGTACAACAAGGAAAACGTTAGTAATGTACTCATAAGATAGCGAGCTTAATATGATTTTTACAAGAACTTTTCTAGACATGTGCAAAAAAACAATTACTTTAAATCTCCATTCTAACCTAGCAGTTAGACGTGTCAGGACGTGTTCTTTAAAAATGAGGGTTTCTTTGATGTTGGTTCTCAGCGCCTTCCAGGAATTGCTTGAAACCAAGGATTTAAATTAAYTTCTACCGAAGTCTAGAAAGAAAAWAATCATAAGAACCAGTTTCACACAAACTTTTCTAGACATGYGCTAATAAAACAATTACGCTAAATTCCTCTCTAATCTAGGAGTTAGRCGTKTATGTTTATACGTATTATDTATAYATTTTCAAARATCACCGCAAAAATCCTCAAACCTGAACTTGTTGCAAAAATCGCCCTTTTACAGCGATAAAACACTTTTTCAAAATGCATACCGTWAACTGATCATCTCTTGAGCCAAACTAATAGAAATATGATTTATTTTGATCACTTGGTGTATTTGAACTCACTGCTTCATTTTAGAGGGTTTGAAAGAGTAGAAAGTTCAGAACTAATAACCTGAAATAAACTCCATAGAYTGTTTAATCGCTCGTGGTKTTATAAATAAAGACTATAGGATCTATCGTCCTTATAAATCTCCCAGCCCATCTGTATAGTGTTGTGAAAGGTTATGGGACMACCGATCCAACCTGACTCACAGAGAGAGAAAATGTCTAAAAGTCTTAACTTAATTTATACACTGTTGCCGAGTTTGCATGGCTGCCAAAAGGGGATTATGATTTAAGATACACTGATCTCACCTCTTCTCCCCTCGGAGAAATAAAATGGCAGCCAAATATGGGCGATTATGATTTACAATGACCTCACCCCATACCCCCTAAGAGAAATGAAATGTCCCGTCATATTGATATCTGCCATGACAATCTTACATCAATTTACGCGCAGTCGCTGTCTTACCACGTTGTTATTGGATAACCTCGTCTTGAGTTTGTAGACGGGGTCCCTAATTTAGTGCTTCTGGGTAAACAAATGCATTTACATCACAATTCTTGGAAAACACATAACATTTCTCGGAAAAGCAACTTGAAGGCGTCCTACTAAGATGGCTAAATCAGTGTTTATCTTTTTGCTTCTTCTTGTGGCTTCGTTCTTTGGTAAGTCCACGACTTTTCTTAAGCAATTAGTTTCTTTTTGCGCATTTTTCGTCCATTTTTTGTGAGTGTTGCACCAGAAAGCTCTCGGATTACGCCAAATGCTATTTTCTTCCCGACAACAAGATATCACAGAATTCGGGGAAAAAGCAACACGCATAAACACTTCTGAAAAGCAAACACGTACAACAAGGAAAACGTTAGTAATGTACTCATAAGATAACGAGCTTATTATAATTTTTACAAGAACTTTTCAAGACATGTGCAAACTTTATTACGC